CGTTAACACGTGTGAAACCCCGTTCTTTTACTGAAAATACAAAAAATTATCCAGGGTTGTGCGCCGGGCTGCAGTTGGGCTCAACCTGTAATCCCAGCACTTTGGCAGCTGAGTACGGGTGGATCCGAGGTCAGGGAGATCGAGACCATCCTAGCCTGCTAACACGGTGAAACCCGCGTCTCTACTAACATACGAAAAAAAATCTACGCCAAGGCCGATCGCGTGGCGGGCCTGTTTACTCCCAGCCTACTCCGGGAGGCTGAGTGCAGGAAATGGCGTGAACCCGGGAGGCGGAGCTGCAGTGAGCTGAGATCCGGCCACTGCACTCCAGGCCTCGGGCAACAGAGCCAGACTCCGTCTCAAAAAAAAAAAAAAAAAAAATATCCGGGGTATGGTGGCACACTGCCCGTAGTTCCAGCTACCTAGGGAGGCTGAGGCCCAGGAGAACTTTGCTTGAACTCTGGAGGCAGAGGTCGCAGTGCGGCCAAGATCGCTGCCACGTGGCACTCCAGCCCGCATGCGGCTGACAGCGAGCAGAATTGCCATTACCAAACCTCTCATACCAAATATTACAAAAAAATAAGAAGTGGGGGAAGTCATACGAGGTTAGTTACACAAGATGGTATTCTCAATTACTACAAAAGTAATCAAACACTCTGGTTGCTCAAAACTTGATACATCATCCCAATATAGCACAAGCACGGGTACAAAAATAAAATAAGTGCAAAAGCAGGCTTGTTTAAATGGATCCTAAAACACAATTGAACCAAGATGCTGTGTATACCAAAATGATCATGGATCCACCAACAGTTCCAATAGAGGCAACACTAGGATAATTTTTTGTATTTTCAGTAGAGACGGGGTTTCACCGTGTTAACCAGGATAGTCTTGAACTCCTGACCTTGTGATCCGCCCGCCTCTGCCTCCCAAAATGCTGGGATTACAGAGGAGCCACCACACCCAGCCTTACTTTCCCTTTTGATACTTACTGTTGAACAAAGAATGAACTTCCAACTCCCCACCCCCACCCAACACACCCCAAACAGAAAAAGGTGAGGACAAGAAAACCGATAATCCACCAACGTAACTCCACACTGAACTACCAAAAACTACCAAGTTAGTTGTACACTATTGGCTTTTTTTGTTTGTTTTTGAGACGGAGTCTCACTCTTTCCCCCCGGCTAGAGTGCAGCAGCGTGATCTTGGCTCACTGCAACCTCAGCCTCCCGAGTAGCTGGGATTGCAGGTGTGCACCACCACGCCTGGCTAATTTTTATATTTTTAGTAGAGACGGGGTTTCACCATGTTGGACAGGCTGGTCTTGAACTCCTGGCCATAAGTGATCTGACAGCCTTGGTCTCCCAAAATGCTGGGATTACAGGCATGAGCCACCATGCCCGACCCAATTTGCTTTTTAATACAGATTGAGTATACCTTGTCTAAAATGCTTGGGACCATATGTGTTTTGAATTTTGGATTTTTTTGCATAGACATTATGAGGTATTGTAGGGATGGGACCCATATACACCTTGTACACATTGCCTAAAGATAATTTTCTACAACACTTTAAATAATGCAAGTTTCATAAGTTTGTGTACATTGAGCAATCAGCAAACAAAGGTGTCACTGTCTCAGCCACTCAGACAGTCTGGTGGTTTGGCATCAGCATAATTCCTGGCTGATTTATATGCTAATGATAAGCAGTCATTAGCATACTTATGTGCATATCATGTACATAAGTGCATTATACTTATGTGCACATAAGTTTCACAGTAAAAGAAAGACATTAATACAGTGGAAAAAAATGTGTTCAGGGTTACTTATGACACCACGTTGGCACAAAAAGTTTTGGTTTTGGATTTTTTTTTTTTTTGAGACAGCCTCTCTATCACCCAGGCTGGAGGGCAGCTGCACAATCCTTGCTCACTGCAACCTCCACCTCCCAGGTTCAAGCCATTCTATTCTCTTGCTTCAGCCTCCTGAGTAGCTGGGAGTACAGGCACGCACCACCACGCCCAGCTAATTTTTGTATTTTTAGTAGAGACAGGGTTTCGCCATGTTGGCCAGACTGGTCTCTAACTCCTGGCCTCAGGTGATCCACCTGCCTCAGCCTCCCAAAGTACTGGGATTACAGGCGTGAGCCACTGCGCCCGGCCAGATTTTGGAATTAGGGATGATCATCCTGTATGATTAGTGGCAAAAGCATTAACTGGTAGATTTACACAAGGAATAAATAGTGTCAGGTACTCTAATCAGTCACATGCTGTGTAAACTTAAGCTACTTCTAGATTAAAGGTAGATAATTCCAAGGTAACACTACCCAATCTGTATTTCTTGTTAAAGAAAAATGAATTGGCTAGAAAATTATTTTCCCTTCAGAAAAAGCTTCTCACTCAATTCCTACTAGAATTTTATCAAGTCCCTTCATAAGTGTATTTCTGTGCTTCACTCTAGGGTTCTGGGTACACTGCAATGATTCCAAGCTAAGCATGTGCACTATGGATGAAGTATGCAAGGCGCAAGCTTATATCTTGTTTTATACCCAACGAGTTACTGAGAATGGACATTCTAAACTTTTGCCTCCAGAGCTCCTGTTCGGGAGCCAACATCCCAATGAAGACGCTGATACCTCGTCTAATGAAATCCTTAGCTGATCCAAAGACAATGGGGTTTTCTAACTGTGATTTATATATACACTTTTAAAAAGACTGATGTACCATTTTAAACTTTTCTTATGAATCAGTGTATATACTACATTTATACATTTTATATCTAACTACAATTTTTTTTTTTTTTTTACAAAGTATAAATGTGTATATCAACTGAAGGTAACTACTTTTTTCAAATATTTGGAGTTTTAAACTTTTGGTGTTTACCTCAGACTGATGTTACCTCTTTTATATTTCTATGTCTTAATTGGCTCGGATCATGAATTTGTGCAATCTTCTACTAACAAAGTTCGAGTGGCATCATTTTATATACATGTGTTATCTTTTTCAGGTATTTTCTATACAAATTCTTAATAGATGGAAAATTAGACTTTGCTTGGTCACTAATAGTCTTTCTTTCATTTGTATATTGAAGTTACCTTGCCCGTTGGAGTTATTGAAGTGACATGTCAAGTTATCACCTAAATATTCTTCAGTCACACTCACTGGTATTTCTGAGGCTTTGTGTGTTACAGGCCTTGTAATAGACATTATTTTGGTTAATGTAACCCCAAAATTGTTTTAGTAATTGCTCTTTATTTGGCATAGTCAAACTATAAATGAAAATGGCAGCTTTACAAATAGTATATTTAAGTGACCTTTGGAACTATGGACATGAAAAAATGATGCCTGGGATTTATGATTTTTGTCTGGCAGCAAACAGGTTTGTCCAGAAGTCTAAAAATTAAGCAGTCATAAAAAGTCTGAATTTAGCAAACCAGTATATGATGTTATTCAAACAGTTTACCTTGGGTATGAGTTCATTTTATAATGTCTGATGACATTAGATCTCTTAAAACTTTATATGTATTTTTTAGTTCAAAGGAATAAAGAGTCTTGAAGAGAAAAAATTACAGGGCAAAAAAGTGTTCAAAATTGGCAACTGGACTATTATGTCTAGCATCTCATTCTCCTAAATAACTAAAGTTTGATTTACTCTTGCTAGGATTATGTGACTACTAGGTAGGAGCCTCTTAAAACACTGGCCCTGAGCATTAAAAAAATTAAAAGCTATCTAAACTTGCAAAAAAAAAAAAAAAAAAAAGCCGTGAGTCACTCTTTTTGTTCTTCTCTGATAATCTCACTGGATTTCTTTAAAGTCCTGTTGCTGCTAACTTTATCTTGTTTGGAGAGGGCAGAATCAACTAATCTGCAGACCAGCTATGTAAGCTCTGTTAACCACAGGAAGATCATGTATCCTTTTTTTATAAGTGGGTTTATTTGCAGGTTGAAGTCTTAGTGAAAGATAATATCCTGTAGAATGCTGTTCACCAGTAGTGATCATCTGTAAGTACAAACTTGAAAGAGATCTCTACCAGTAAATAACAAGTCATCTGGGTTAGCTGAAGTGCAATAAGACTTTTATCACTGAACAGACAAATCATCTGTGCCAAAAACACATCTGGAATATTAAATGGCTGTGTTTAAAATTGTTCATAATACCTATGCAAGTCGTTACCTCAACTGTTACACACTTAATACCTCATTAAAAATTTACGTGGTCAAGATACCAGCATCTACTCTTTCCTAGTTTCAAGGACTATTTTTAACATGTTATACATTTTAGCACGTCATTTTAATGGAATTATTGTAAAAACTCCTGAACTATTTGTAATGGTATCATTGCTTGTACTTATTTCAATATAAAAATATACAAGAGGCCGGGCGCCATGGCTCATGCCTGTAATGTAATCCCAGCAGTTTGGGAGGCTGAGGCGGGTGGATCACAAGGTCAGGAGATCGAGACCATCCTGGCTAACACAGTGAAACCCCATCTCTACTAAAAATACAAACAGAAAACATTAGCCAGGTGTAGTAGCACGCATCTGTAGTCCAGCTACTCGGGAGGATGAGGCAGGAGAATAGCTTGAACCCAGTTGCAGTGAGCTGAGATCACGCCACTGCACTCCAGCCTGAGTGACAGAGCGAGATTCTGTCTGGAAAAAAAAAAAAAAGAGTGACTTAACCCTTTACTTTTTAATCCCTTAAAACTAACACCTATGGGGGGAGGCTTGGAGAAGGAGGATATTATTGGGGGATATGGGAAATCTGTTGGTACTTTCCACTAAATTTTAGTGTGAAAAATGTCTCACAATACCAACAATAAAATTAAAACCTAAATAAACAGAAACTTAGATTTCTTACTATGTATCTTAAATCTCAGTATGGACGTCTACATTCTGCTAAGTTGATCTAACAAAAAACAACATGTTTTAGTTGTAAAATAATTTACTAAAGGCACTATTGTTAAACATCAAACTAATAATTTGTTGCCAATAAGGTACATCGTTGTAAACATAACAAAATTTTAAGAGATACATGGCTAATAAGCAAACAATACAATTTAAGTGACGGCTTTCCTATTTACAAGATTGCGTCCCTTCCAGCCATTACAAGGGCATACAGTGATGCCACTGTTCCCAACAGTTACCTGGGAAGGGAGCTTGGAGCTCCTAATTGGTTTGAGATCATGACTGCCAAGATCTTTAAAAGCTCCAAAAGTCTTCACTCATAAAGGTCAATTCTAAAATTCCTGGGTTTAGAAATCAAGATTCTTGCTTTATGCTTCCACATCAAAAGATATGGACTCAACCCCAAAGGAGAGAGCTGGAGGGCCCAGCCCTGACAGTATGTCCAGGCATGAACAGGCGAGCTCTGCTGCCAGCCACAGCATCACAGAAAATGAAGAAGTTAGTCAAATGTGGCTATTAAACATTAGCACCATAATAAATATAGCTCATACAGCTAAAACTTAGATTGTTTCCCCACAAGATAACATTCATTTATAGCTCTAATGCTGAAAGAACAGCTTTTTAATGTAACAGATGATCTAGGTACAGAAGTCGTAGGTTTCTCTTCCTAAGATAAAAATGTTTAACAAAATACAAACTAAACAGCATCCCAGAGGCAATAAAATCTCATTGTACTGAAACATACACAAATTAAGGCTACCTTGGTATATAAACGATTTAGAAATTATGATGGAACATTCCCATAAAATTATTTACATATAAGAATTCAAGCAATTTGTTAAAGAATCAGTAGTGGGCCTCAGTTCAGACAAATTAATATTATGATTGTTACATTCAACTTAATACACTTAGCCGCTATAAGGAAAGTAACTGTCACCTCACTTCCTGAAATACCACCAGTAATGTTAAAAATCCAAACCTGTCAAAGGGCGACGTACTACAGCATTTGCCTCATGAATGAAAAAGTCCAATAATTTCAACTTAATTTTTCTAACTAGAACAAGATCCAAACATGGGAGTTTTTTTTTTCTTTCCTTTTGTGGCTTTAATGCCCTTTTGGTTTTCTGAGCAAGCTCAATACACTCCCTGATAAAAAGGATCTAAACGTTGAGATTTTCACCAAATCAAGGTTTCGAGTTGGCACAATGTTCCTAAGTCAAGTTTCAATTAGCACATCTTTCCAATGTCGGGAAAAAAACACAAGGACTACTATGTCCTATAAAGAATGGTGAAATATTCCTAAAGCTGTGTATTTATGAAGAAAAGGTGTTTGTCCCTCTTTATGCATGTGTAGATCTTGTTTTAGCCACTATGCCACCAAAGTCTCAGTGTAGAGGTCTACATTTCAGATACATGTCTCTGCATTTGCCTACATTAAGTTTAGCTATTTATCCTGTCCAGAATTATAACCACAAACATTGAGATGTAGCTCTCAGATCTGAAAATGTCTTTATTTTTTAGAAAATGGATTCCAGGAAGGTTAAAAAGCAACACCAGAGGGTATAGGTGCAGAACTGGATGTAGTCATTCAAAGCATTCAAGTAAGAATATGGCAATATAAATATCCAAAAAGTATCTCTTAGGTATTCAAAACAAAACGTATAAGTCATTCCTAACTAATTTGAGCTTTATAGCATTGTCCTAGACAGGAAGGGGAAAAACAGTTAGCATTTAAAAGTCCTGAAAGCTTTTTCGTTGGTTAATTACATTAGATGGTTTGCCTTTGATCAAATTCCTTCTTTTTTAAACATGGATAAAAGTATTACATGGGTCCACTGTTAAAACAGACAACATGTTGCAAATTAATTCTGGTATAATGTTTTCCAACAAAGCTTAGAAAATAAAGGTGTTGAGGTGGCTTTGGACTAAGTTTAATAGTCATCTCCTCTGCTGACAACTTCTTTACATGTTGGACGCAACAGGATGGTATGTTCAAATTGCGCTGTATATGATCCTTTAATGTCACATAATGGTGGATATGGATCTACAATGCCCAAGTCACACAGATTCTTCAGAGCCATCAAGTATTTACTTTCTCCCAAGCGATCCAGCCATCTGCGGCAGAAGGCAAGGGTGCCAAAGTTTTCATTGATGACATTTAATAAGTGTTTTGTTCTTGGAAGCCTAAAAGGAGAAAATCCAAAATTAATTGTTGGCAAAAGAGTTACGAACTGATTTCCCTCATTAAGAAAAGCCCAGACCTTAGCTGTGTCTTAGCAGTTGAAGTCCAAAAACTTTTATTTAAAGTTGCTCTTTCAACAATCAAAAGCCAGAATGTATAATAGCCCATACCTAATTATAGATGGCAGCTGAATAGGACACCAGCTGGAAGCCATCTTAGTGTTTACATGTCTATGTGTGTTATATTCCCCAGTACAGACCTAACTACAGGGTATTACGGGAATTTCCTTTTGTGTGCAGCAAGCTCAAAGACCTGCATATAAAAGATGTAAATCCAGACTTCAATCATCTTCAAATGTTAAAAAAATTCAATGTAAATTGAAAGACATTGTAAATGGAAGTATACCAATGGGAAAATATTAAACCAAAAACCTAGAAATGCTAGCAAAATAATCTCTGACATTTATGATTATCAGAAACCAGACTTGAAGACAGCACGTGTGTGTGTGTGTGTGTGTGTGTGTGTGTGTAATTTTTATCTCAGTTAAAATGTTTAAAAGGCTATTTTTTTTTCTTACTGTTGGGCTACAGAACTCTACATTTAATGAATATACTATTTTGTATGCATGCCACTTTTTAAAAAAATGCTGTTAATTCAGAAGAGATGCTCATTAGCCACATAAATTCCACTGGCTCCTCTCTCACCTTATTGGCACATGTCCAACATCAAAATTTTTCATGTAATGTGAACATTCCATATCATCATGAACAACACCTTTTCCTGTACTACCAAAGGTTTCAATTGCATATACTTCTCCTTCCTGAAAAATAAGGGTCAAGGGGAGAGAAAGAAGAAAAATTCAGAACGAATCACAATTACCATCTCGCTCTCTCTTTTTGAGACAGTCTCTCTCTGTTGCCAGGCTAGAGTGCAGTGGTGTGATCTTGGCTCACTGCAACCTCCGCTTCCCAGGTTCAAGCGATTCTCCTGCCTCAGCCTCCTGAGTAGGTGGGACTACAGGCACGTGCCACCACGCCGAGCTAATTTTTGTATTTTTAGTAGAGACGACGTTTCACTATGTTGGCCAGATTGGTTTCAACCTCCTGACCTCAGGTGATCTGCCTGCATTGGTCTCTCAAAGTGTTGGGATTAACAGGCCTGAGGCACCGAGCCCAGCCTACAATTACCATCTCTTGAAGTTTCTACCTGATTAAGCAGCAACATGAAGTAGCCCCTGGCAGTCTTTATCTAACCTTGCCTTGCTTTAGCTCCTTTGCACTTTTTGGTCCTTCTGCTTCCCCCTACAAACTTTGTTCACAATTCCACCCCTAGAGCCTACTATAAAGAGACTGACACCTAGGAATGCTCCATAAATATTCATCAAATGTTGAACAAACAATCCTTTCACAGCCCCAATTTCCACAACTGATTTAGTGCTAACTATACACAATTTGCAAATTCAAATGGCCCAATTCCTGACAGTGTGAATATGGATGATAAGCTAATTCTAGTCAGTATAATTATATATTTAACTATGACGACCTTCTGCTTAGAAGAAAAAAATGTCTTCCATGGAAGTAAAATGTTAGTGACACACATACCTCCATTCTTGTTGCCTCCCCTCCTTTCACAATCGGCACTGTTTTTCCAGCATGTATTCTATATTGCCCAATTGAATGTCCATTTAGATTACGGATTGGTTTCACTGTTATAAAAAATAGGGAAATAAAAGTTATTCAGGATCTCAAGAAGAAAAAACAGACCTTTTACATTTTGGTACAGAGTTCAAGCATTTATTCGAAAACCAGATATGGCTTTACTAAATAACCTTACATTAAGGTAGTTAAATATAAACTGGAATCTAGTAGAATATAAAAAGTAGTTAGTTGCAGTGTTATTAATACTAGAAGTAGGCCAGGTGCAGTGGCTCATGCCTGTAATCCCAGCACTTTGGGTGGCCGAGGCAAGCGGATCACCTGAGGTCAGGAGTTCGGGACCAGCCTGGCCAACACGGCGAAACCCTGTCTCTACTACAAATACAAAAATTAGCTGGGTGTGGTGGTGGGGAATCGTAATTCCAGCTACTCAGGAGGCTGAGGCAGGAGAATCACTTGAACCCGGGAAGCGGAGGCTGCA